GAACGGAAAGATCCATTAGATAATGAACTATTGGTTCTAACTCAAAGTAATCATAAAAAGAACAGTAGAGTGATTGTACCCATGCTTTGCTGCAATTAACTGCTTCCACAATGCATCTGCTTTTTTACCAAAACCCCACAAAAATTCTCCAAGCAATGCTTTGTTCATCAGTCCTACTGGTTTAATTTCAGTTCTGGCATGTTATTGTAGCTTAATTGGTCCAGTAAAATGAATCCCCAGGTGTTCATATCCATCTGTAAGAGAAGTGCTATTCTGAAGGTTCACATGATTTTTGAGTAATGGTTGTGAATTCTCAAGTCATGATTACGATAACCTGGGGATTCATTTTACTTGAGACACAATTTTGAGCTGTTTCTGTGGAAGCTCAGGTTTCTCCTATGAATTCATTATGAAGCCTCTAATCTCCATAATTGCATATCTACAGTGGAGCTAAGCTAAAACTGTTCTCTTTCCTAGATGTATACATAACGTATATTTCATTGTTGTGTATTTTAACCAGACTGGTTTGTATCTGCTTCTTCAGATTTTGACCAACTGCTTGTGTGATCCAGGACATGTTGCTGGTTGCAATTTTACTGTCTTAACATTCAAGTCAAGATGAAGGCAGGCCCACTGTGGAAGCTCAGGTTTCTCCTATGAATTCATTATGAAGCCTCTAATCTCCATAATTGCATATCTACAGTGGAGCTAAGCTAAAACTGTTCTCTTTCCTAGATGTATACATAACGTATATTTCATTGTTGTTTATTTTAACCAGACTGGTTTGTATCTGCTTCTTCAGATTTTGACCAACTGCTTGTGTGATCCAGGACATGTTGCTGGTTGCAATTTTACTGTCTTAACATTCAAGTCAAGATGAAGGCAGGCCCATTGTGTTTTTCAGTTTTACAACACGAGAGGCGCAGAGTCTCATCTTTATTGAAAAGAAGCCCTTTCCTAAAACCAAGGACACAGGCAGGTTTTTGGTCAGAGAACTTCAACACCTTGAGAGGGAGAGTTGGAAACATTTGTAGCTTTTATCTGAATGGATCCGGTACCCATGGTCCTTCTGTAAGGGGATACTATAGTGGAAAATGGAAGCAACATTATATGACAATGAAAATAGGAGGAAATGAGAGCACCCAGAGCATTAAACTGTATAGCTTCAAGCATGAAGTCTTTGACAGAAAAGTTACAGTAGGCACCAAGTTTACCATAAATAAGTCAGAGAATGGAGAGTCTGAAAGAGTTGAATACTGTGATATTCAACAGAAGATTGCTGATAGTAGGGTATTAGATCAACATGTAACATTTTTCGTTTTTGATATTGAAACCACTGGATTGAGCAGAAAGAATGAGCGAATCATTGAAATTGCTATTCAGGATCTCCTAGGGGGCAAGAACAGTACTTTCCAGACCCTAGTCAACCCTGAACGTGTTGTCCTCAATTCACATGTTCATGGCATCACAACCAGTATGGTTAACAGACCTGATGTTCCAAGGTACGATATTTCAAAATGTTGAATTTTCATGCCTCTTTCTAACTGATTAAATGCCCACACCATCAAGTTTTTCTTTTTCTTTTTTTTTTCATTTTGTAAGATAGATTCCTATCTCCTTACGTGCCTAGGTTTTCATCGGATCTTTTTTCTGCAACTTATATTCTTTGTTAGTTTTTTTTTTGAGCAATTAATTTTTGTTAAAATATTTGGGCTGACAACTTGAGAATTACAACTCTGTTTCTTATTGGAAAGAAGAAATCTTAAAGGGAAGAGAAAATACTTCTTTAGACAATTAAGGTATAATATATATCTTTTGCTGGGACCCATTGAAGGGTCCAACGACATTCTGTGTATGTCATGTATATGGGTAACCTTCAGTTTTGATCAGTCAATAAGATCAGGGAATGGAGTTACAGGCTGAATATTGCTAAGACTTAATGGATAATTTGGACATGGTTAGTAGACAACAAGCTCATACTCAGGTCAAAGATGCAGTTATTAAACTTCATATTTGTTACAGAGTGGAGTTCTGGAACTCCTTACGGTTAAAATTTCTATTAGCCTATAAAATGACATGGTGAATTCAATTTGTTTTCTTGCTTGGATTGTATCATCTTGTACATATGTCTGGAGATATGTCATTACTATTATTCAGACTATGATTTATCTTAGAAAATCTTAATCAATACTGGAATTTTGAATCCATCCATACCCAAATTGAAATGATGTTTATATTTTATACAATTTTAACATAAACCATATAAACATATGCAAGTATTAGAACTCCATCTGCACACTAAAATGTACAAGAAATATTTTGATAGTTGTTATTTAAGAATGTTAAAAAGGCCTGATGAAATGGAAATGTTCATTGGAATGATTTTATTTTCTTTTCTTTGAATTATGGCTCTGGCTTCTCAATTGGGTATGGACCATGGACTTCTTAGGAATTTCTTTAAGCTCATTTGAATGCACAAGCTAGAATGACTTTTACAATAATAGCTAAGCCTCTTAGCAATTTGGTTGAATCTTGGAATAATTCATGGAGGTAATATAAGATGAAATCCTTTCTATTACAGACTTTGCAAAGACTTGCTTGTACCAAGCCAAAAAAGGAAAGACCCAATATTTCATAGGTCAAATAATTATCAGTTTAGTGAGTATATGAAAAGATCTGCTTTAGGCCTCAATGAAAAATATTTGACATTTTATTATGTTAAATTATTTGCAGAACTCCAACATAAATGGATCTAAATGACATTCAGGTCCATTGAACTTTGATACTCTTGGGAATAATTGAATGTGGAAAATAATTATTATAAATGGAGTAAATGTAGCATGTTGTTGTACTCAGCAATGCAGATCCAGTTAGCATAAAATTGTCTCCTTTCTTTTGTTCTAGCTCATAATTTGAACAAGTCACACATACACCTAGTACATGTTCCTCAGCACTGAGAACATCCCTGAAGGGCGGGGGATTTCATGACATTTCTGATTGGCTGTCTGGTGTTTATAACAAGTTGTTTAATAGTTGCATGCTGTTTCGTATACACAACAAGCTGATTTAGATCGATCCTAATTCCTAACCAGGAAATTATGAATTACTTTCATATAATATTTTTACCTCAGTAAGAAGGCAAACACATTTTATTAATTTGTTTTTCCTGTAAGTAATGTGACAATTAATGGGCTAGAGCTTGATTATAGTATAGTGGTTTAGACAGGTTTTGAATCCAGGTCTCCATGTTATGAACCTAGTCACTTTACCAACTCAGCATGCCTGAATTTTCTCCAAAGTCACTGCCAAAAGGGGGATTTTAATTCTTGTCTAAGCTTAATTTCACATCATAAGAACGCTTATTTATTTATGTATTTATCATGCTAGGCCTTTCCAATATTTTGATTTTGTGCATATTTGGATGATCCCTACTGCTTCAGTCTCACATTCAAGAACTTGTGTAGGATGGGGGACTTGATTCCAATCTTAAAGGAATATGTCAAAAGCCGCCAAAAACCTGGGGGCATCATTGTATGGGCTGCTCACAATGCACGCAGTTTTGATGTGCCCTTTCTGATCAAGGAGTTCAGCCGCTGCTCCATTGAGATTCCTCCAGATTGGGTGTTTTTAGACACACTTCCTCTTGCTCGGCTGTTGATGAAGCCAGATGGTTCTCTCTCTCTCTCTAGAAAACTAAAATAAATTGATTTGCAATTCAGCCTAAGGTTCGTTTGCAAATGCTCATTAAATTTGTTGATCTTGTCAACAGGATCAAAACTTGATTCAATATCTCAGCAATCACTTCGTGAGTACTATGGAATACCAATGGTGGGTTCAGCCCACAGAGCCATGTCGGATGTCCAAACGTTGTCGCGAATATTACAGAAGATGACTTTTGACCTGAAGATGCCAATCGTGAGCCTTGTCGAAAGATGTTTCAAGGCTTCTGACCTGATTAACACAAAGAAGAGCGTGACCTAGCCTTCTTTCTCGGATGTCGCTCCTGTACACAGGAGCAGAGCGGCAGCAGCACTAGCGCAAACCCCAACCCATATAGTTGCTTTTGTGATGTGTAACTATTGATTGTAATTTAGATTTTCTCATTTCTTTCAATAGGGACTTCCAAGCTATTCTGTGAATACGCTTGTTCATGCTCACGGGCTAGGCCGGGCTCGGCCCAACCCAACCATTTGGGCCTAGATTTTGAGCCCGAGTCCAGCCCTTGTATAAAGCTTGAAGCCCAACCAAAAAATTGGGCAGGAAGTTTTTTTTTTATATTTTTATTCAACGATAAAAATGATTTATTTATATTACATGGTCCCAAAACTCAAAAATATTGAAAATTTTCACTATGGCTTGAGGAAAGAGAAATGATTTATTATATAAAATATTATAGGGTCAGTCTTTTTGGGAAAGACTGCCTAGCTCAAAAAAATGTTGGGCCTGAGCTTTAGGCTTCGGGCCTAAAATCTTGTCCAAGCCTAACCAAAAACAGGCTGAGGTAGGCCCGTCAAGTTATCTATAGCCCATGAACATCAAATCTGTGATGTTATGTGCACATGGAAGTGGTCAGCAAATCTGTGCTCCCATTGATCATCGCAAGGTATCTTAAATATTGGAATGAAATCATACGAGCAAGGTTCAAAGTATTGACATAGGGAGTATCGGCCTGTATCGTAATTTTTTAGGTTTTATTTATTTTTTTGAAATCGGTCCAGAGGGGTTGGTTTAAGGCCTGGCTACCCTCTGAACCAGTGTCTGATCCGATACAACCCCTGGAGAGATGTTGGGAAGCCATTGACATGATACATATCGATACTTTGAACCTTGCATATGAGCGAACAATTTGGCAAAACACCCTTAAAGAAGACAGAGATGCCATCATGAACTAACTCCATGCCAGACGTGAACAATTACTTGGTAGGGGAACCGCCGTCCCATCCCCACGCCCCACCCTTTCGTTGGAGTTTGGATTCAAAAAATCAAATTCATGACTAAAAAAACATAAATTTTATAATTACTTTCGATAAAAGTCGAACTCAAGACCTTCCGCTTACTAAATGGGTGTTCTAACCAACTGAACTACGAAAGCCAAACAAAAAATAGGGAACAAGGAAAGATTATATCCATTAAAATTGTGAATACATAACAAATCCAACGTATTTCATCACCCCTTCGTCTATCTTTTTTCTTTTCCGATAATGCTTACTTTTCGTCTATTCAATATGGAATTGGTGCTATCAACTTTGCATTTTTGCAAGTAGAGTGGAAGTGTAATAGTACAAAAATTGGGCGGTAAAAAAGCTGGATCTGCCGGCTTCAAGAACCAACAACTCCACAAGACACTGCAGCTGCACATCGAGAATGAGAATTATGGGTGCAATTCAATTTGGCCTGAGTTAACACTTGACACTGCTTTGGATTCAGGTTTTGGGTTGGGCCATTCTTCCAATGTACAACTATAAGTTGTAGTGTTGTGGATAGTAGGGGTGAACAAATGGGTAAGTTCTATTCGGAATCAAACTCGAACCAGCCTTGAATCGATCCTATCTAATATCTTATAGAGTAGGATCTAGTTTCAAATTTTTGGAACTGACCCCCACCCAAGCCAGTTCTAGGGTCTAGGGGTTTACCCTACCTGAATTGACCTGATGAACCGACCATGGTGGGCCTTAGTAGAACCGACCTTGGTGGAACCTGCCTTGGAACTGAACTTGCCTTGAAATACCCAAAATACTTTTGGGGATGTGAAGATTTGAACCCAAGCACTCATGATTAGAAAGACCATGGTTTCACTTGACCATTGAATTACTTAAATTATTTGATCATTTGTTTTCATTTTAATATTTGAATGTATACGATAAGTAATGTTACAAAATTTAAATTTAAATTATAAGCTTTGAACCATATAATGATAATCTACATATTAAGTTATTCAATTTAATCAATAAAAATATAAGTTTTAAAATATATATTATACTTATTGACAATCAAGTTTTCAAAGAACATGCTTCTTTTTTTTTTTTGATGGTAGAGTAAAGGAAAAACAGGTTCCACAGATAGACCATAGATCGACCCCAAAACCACCAAAGTCAAAACTGACCTTCACAAGATAAGTTCAAGTTCCAAAAACTGGAATTAAAAGTCTGGAACCAAACTGAACAGACACATGCTCATCCCTAATGGATAGTGTGGATGGTAAATTTAGAGCTGTGCAATTAGACCAGTTCACACTTCAGCCTCGATTTTATACAGTATTGGGCTCAAATGTGCAAAGTGCAAAGAATAAACGGATCACGAGCACTGTATTAATGTCGTTCATCATATTCAGACCTCAAGCCACCAGGCCACCAGCAATGGGCCCTTGAATTTCTTATAAATATTTCGTTTTTTTTTTTTTCTTTATCTTCTGCGTTGGATTCCTAAGCCTCTGAAACATAAAATAATTGTCTGACTTGACGCATGACATACAGGAGACATTCGGAGTTTGAGTTCAAATCAGCCCCCCACAACCCACAGCACATCCTCGTGTATTGGAACATTTTTTGATGATGACATCATCATCATTTCTGATATAATCACTAGGAGATGTTATCAATACACAGCGGGATGTGCTGTGGGACGTTGAGGGGGGATAATTTGATCTACGTGCATTTTGTCACCAGCAAAGTTTTTAAAACTGAACCTATCAGGGTCCGGTTCCTGAGTCAAATAGTTTGATTGTTCGAACCAAATGAGCGGCATGTTCTGACAAAAAAAAATGACTAAAACCATTAGACAATTCAAATGGTTCAACCGCCTAAATCAGCAGTTTATATACCAAATCAATGATTTTTGACAAAATAACAGTTCTAAGGTAAAACGGAACAGATCCAATCCGGTTTTAAAAACCATGGTCGCCAGGGCTACAAAGCAAGAATTATCACCTATATACAAGCAGTTAATTATCAAAAATTTGACGTCATCAACATGCAATACAATTAAATATGGCTGCAAATAAGTTGGATCTGATCCATTTCGAATCTAAATTTCTAAAAGCCAAATTTAGATACCCTTGATCTGAAAAATCAAATCAAATCAGAAAGGTTGATCCATTTAATTAACAAATCGAATTTATATTATCTCTAATTTGATCCACCACGATTCAATCCGATCCGTTTATACATACATACATACTTCAAATCGCAATTTTTAAGATCCGGTGGGTTCACATCGAATTGGGATCTCCCTAAAATTTTGTCAAAATCAACCCCTCACACCAAGCTCGATTCGATCCATTTGCAGCCCTGCGATCAAACAGATTTTAGAAAAACGGAACCTTATCAGGTGCAACTTGCAAGGTAGAGCTGTTCTGTTCAAATGGTCGATGCACAGGATTTCAACGTGGAAGTGGAACGCACTCATTTTATTGCGTGAAAAGAATTGGCATGAAAGAATTGATACAAACGTAAAAGAATCTCTTGTTCCTCATATAGTGAGGTTAGGGCGACCTACAAAACCCCCTGGGAAATTAAAAATAAAAAATAAATTGGAAACCCTATCCCTGGCCTGGCTTTCACAATCTAGCCAAATGGGGAGGGGGAGGGAGAACAAAATACAAGCTGCGCACACGTTCCCAGAGACGCCATCCCCTTCACAATTCTCTCGAGGAAGTTAGTTTTACTTACACTCTTTTAATGTTGTAATATCAAATCGGGACATCTACCAAATCTTCCCCATTCTCATAGTGTCCCCTACGAGCTACTTGCAACATTTGTACCTTTGTATGTCTAAAGCTGCAGGGGACGTTAGCTGACAGGAGGGCTCAATTCAGGACTGCCATATTCACCGATCACAAGAATATCTCTTTGAGAATCAGGAGGACCAACATGATGAAGCACATTATAACAAGCACCGTCGCACACATCACCATCCCCCCTTTCCTCTGTGTTCTCTCTGCCTGCACATCCAGGGCTCAGAACATTGTAATACTGATCATAGCTGTAATATATGATAACTAGATGAACCAAGAAGGAATAAATAATACCTTCTGAAGTTGTTTATACCCCTCTTCAACTGTGGCTGCAACATTCTGAATGTTGTAATCTATCCGGTCAACAATCGTCCCCTGCTTGGAGAAATGAATTTCATTAGCCACACTCAATAGACTCCAAAAAAAAAAAAACTATTGTAGACCCAATGATAAGAGTAAGGGTGTCAATGGACCGGTTTTGGATTGGATCCCGTTCAGCCCAAAATCAATTTGGATGGATTGGACAGACCAACAAGACATTGGATTGGACCAATCCGGTCCAAAATATTTATTAGATTGAATTGAACCTGGTCCGTCTGTAACAAATTTATATTGGATTGGGTTGGATTAAGCCAATATCTGGTCCATTGATATAAGATAAGAATATATGTCAATGGACCAGGTTTGGGTTGAAACCAATCTAAATCAAAATGAATTTGAACAGATTGGACGGTCCAAACATTGAATTGGATCGGTCCAAATTGGTCCAAAACATTCATTGGATTGGAATGGACCTGGTCCATTTATAATGGACTCACATTGGACTGGATCGGATTGGACCAAACCCAGTCCAATTGACACCCCTAGATAAGAGACAGAGCATCTAACCTGGTCTATCACAAGGACTGAGAGATCTTTCATGATTTGAGCAAGCTCGTTCACTGATTCTACAACCTATGCATAAAATTTCAGTTGATTAGAAGAGGAGCACAACATTTCATGGACCAATAAGCAAAGGATAAAGGTAGTAAAGGTGTTTCCTTTTACCTGTGCAATCTCTCTCTCCCTTTCCACTGTGAATGCCTCATTTTTCTTTACCTTGGCCATTTGGTGCTCATTGAAACCCTGAACAGATAAAACATTCACTTCGATCTTAAAAAACTTTATTCTTTTCAGACAAACAGTCGTGATTCACAGTTTCACACTGCTACTTTGACAGCTAATGTTTTTTCACCAAGGAGATTACTGCTCAAATGAAGTATTGGATGGGAGAGTAACATAATACCATATCCATAAAGTCATCATCTTCCACTTTAGGTTTGAACTTATCATTCAAATTCATCTCCAAATCAACTCCATCTTGACCCTACAACAGAAAGGTAAGTGGTTATTATTAATTAATACTTGAGATAAATAAATGCAATAAAGCTATATTTGATAACAGGGGAAAGGACTGTCAGCTCAAACTTGTACAAATTCCAGCTTGAAAGTTCAACAAGTCTGTAATGATTAGCACCACTGACCTGGGTTCATGACCCATCTTGAACTCCAAGCCACCACTTTCTTGCCTTTCAAAAAGAAAATTACCTCTTAACATAGAATAAGAAATCCAACCTCACCTCTTTTTGCTGCCGAAGACGCTTTAAATAAGCTGACTGTTTCTTCCGTAGCTCCATTGAAAGGCTCTGAAGGTCAGTTGCAAGAGAACGCTGTAGGAAAAACATTAACATGCGATAAGCATTCATCAGGAAAATGATAAACTCTTACAAATATACACAACTTTGAAGTTTCAACCAAAGGATGGCATCTCTTCTTTAATGGGATATGATATTCTATTTATCCACAAGAAATCCCAAATAATAGTCAATTTAAAAAACCAAACAAAGTAAAAGAAGAAAGAAAACACAGTAATAAAAAAAAGGAAAGAATGAAACCTCTTGAAAGAATACATCCTTCTATGAACCACAGAAAAAATATAGTGATAGATCAAGAATTTGCCAAGAGAAAATACAACCACCATCCTGTATTACCTGTACGTTTTTTCTAACATTTGAATCCTTTGAAGGCCCACTTGCAGAAAGTTTCATCAATTTCTTCTCAGATCTCTTCAATAGATCCGTTATCTCTTGTGTAAGATCTTCAATCATGCGTTGATCTTCTTTTCCATCTCCAAAGGATGGCATTAAAGCCTTTGCATGAGCCTTGACCAACTCAGCCATTTTTGTTCTTGCACGTTGCATATTTTCTGTTATTTCTTCAGAAACATCCACCCAAGCTGGAGGTAGACCAACAGTAGCTGCACCCCTACAGTAGGTAAAGAAAGCATTTTTAGGGTTGTAAACTGATAAATATTGGCAAAAGCATTCATGAAAAGAGCTAAACATCCAAGACAATTATGAAATATGAATTAACAAATCCTTCATCCCTGTATGCTATGCATTTATAAATTTTTCCTGACACAGATAATAAGAATCTAACTCCAATTTTCACCAAATAAGGGCAAGAAGAGAGCATCTCTTTTTGTAAAAAAAATAAATAAATAAAAGGAACTAGAAAATTTAATTAAAAATAAAAAAAATTAAGAAAATATTACAATGAAAAGGTGTTGACCAAACACCCAAGCATCAAATACTAGCTTTTACAGAATCAGCCAGAAAGAAAAGATAAAGCATCCACCATTAATTAAAAATAATTTAGAGAAGATATTGAAAATTCCGACCAAAAAGAGGATCAGGCCATAAAACATATCTTTAAATACATCAATCAAGAAAATCTATATCTTATTTCTCCAATCTATTTACCTACCATTGGCTCCAATATGACACCCAGTCCACATGGTAGTTCCTCCACCTGTACCTCAACCCAATCCCCAATTTTCAAGTCCCAAATCCCATCTTTCTACCCCATGTCAAAGCTTTGATTGCTGAACTGAGAGTAACTTTTGACCTGTTCATTGCTGCATCAAGGATCCCAAAGACCAAGAACATTTCATCATAATATTGCCATTTGGAACAAAAACTGATATCAACAGCCTCCCCCCCCCTTCCTCATCTCATCAATTCCCCCAGCTTCCTAGTCTTCTCTCTATTTTGGATTTACTGCAGACCTATAGGTGTGGGCTCAACTAAGGAGGTGGTTCTCACTTTGCTCACAAGGGCTAGAATAGCTTAGTAGTCTCAGCTTTCATCATTGGCAATGGAAGGAGCACGGCATACGCATTTAGATGGTGCAACCGTGCAAGAAAACAAAATCAAGCAGGATCCATAGCATCTTGCTCATTACCTTAATGAAACAAGAGAAATATCGGCATCCATCATTCAAATTAGGTGGAACTAAAGAGATGAAATTCATCTGGGATATGAGCTTGGTAAAGTGGGTGCAGAAGCATCTTCTTTCTATGTATGAGTTGTAGCTGAGTTCCTCTTCTTGGGGGTGCTACTTGGGCAGGCATATGTTGACCATTTGTTAATATTTGAGTGAGCCTGGGCCTCTCTTTAAAATGGGTACCTGACTTGCACCCCCACCTCTTCTTGCATATAGACATCATTGTACATCAACTCATGCAGACACCTTTCTTTTCATATTAATTTGTATGTTACCTTTTCTCAAGAAATAATTAAATATACAAATAAAAAATATATATCAAAATACATAGGAGAATATTATGCCTAGAACCACTAGCTCATCCTCCATGTTATTGATCGATCTTGAAACACAAGAAAATGAGATATCTAAGAAGAACATTTTGAAGGCCAAATTTGCTTTAACCACACTGGCAGAAAGCACATGAATTATTTATTTATTCTTTATATATTTATCAAAAGTTATCTTTTTTACTGTTGTAAAAATTTCCTTTAGCATGGATGAAGCATTAACTTGTTCTCCTGTTAAACGATTAAAATTCTGGCTTAAAAATTTATTTAGATCCCAATGTTTTGAAAACCAGACTGGACATTGAATCACTAAGGCTGGCCATTCACATTTCAAATAGTTCAAACCATGATCTCAGTATAAAAAATATAAAAAACAAAAATAAATAGAAAATAATATGGAAAATACTAATTGATTTTGAAGTCTTTTATCATTCTTGTTTTTTAACTTTTAAGTATAAAGTTAGTTGGAAGGTGCCAACTAGATCATCTGGTAAAGCCTCCGGTGGGTTGTAAACTTGTAACAGGGACCTGGGATCAAATCTTGCCTTCATCCAGGTTATTTGGGTTTTTTTGGGGTTTGGGAACATGCTTACCCCCCATTGTGTAGCCTATTAAATTTGGAATAAGTATAAGATAGTATATAAAGCTAAAAAGCAATACTTAAAAGGTCAGCCAGTTATTAGAACCAGTGACTGGTACATACAATTCAAACGACTAACTACTCGTTGGAACAGCTTTAACCGAAGTCCAAAGTTTGCATAGCAAAAGTGATCAGTTCACTTTTTTGAACCAGAATAGACATGAGACTCCATCCATCGTTTTAATTTTTTTCCTTCACATTTTTTGACACAACAGAAGATTTTTTTTTTCCTTCACATATTTGAAATCCAAATGCTTCTTTTTTTCTTTTTTTTTGTTTTTTGTTCTTAACCGTTAACTGTCATATCCATCCAAATAAATCCAACCCCTAGCATATTTGGTAAACTTTTCCATCTTGGGTACTGTCTAAGAAATCCAGCTAGTACATACACTTCGTTTAGATTGTCTGACATCACATCACACACTTCTCAATTAGAATTTAGAACCAACAATACAAGGAGGATACTCCAAGTATTATTTCCAACGAGGTCACCAATCCTGGAAGGAACCATATTTTCAAGCAAAAACATAGAATTTTAGCCCTATCTCACACCAGTGTCACCCCACTGAAAGATTGAGACCATAAAAAGAACCATCTTGCTCAATACCACTCTCTCAAGAAATCATTATAGTGAGAATCTTTAACTTTTTCATAGGTAGGACCAAATCGTTGCAGGTCATCTCAATGCAGGACAGGAGTAGTTAAGCTGATCCGAAAATGCTACAAATCATAGTATGCAGAATTATATTTTAAGGTTCAGGAACCAATTCATTTTATGTAAGAAAACCTTAAGGAAACTCCCTTTTATTAATTAAAACTTGGTTAAGAAAGTCAAAGAAGACCAGAGAATAGTTACTAAAATTCTGATACAAATCTACTAATGTCAACCGCTGCTTAAATGGAAAGCTACTGCATATGCGAATTTAGAAAGAAAGCCAAAAAAACCAATTTCTAAAACTAGGGATGCAGCCTTTATATCTTTAAATAACTGAAAGAAAGCTACTGCATATGTGAATTTAAACTCCAGATTCTATCAGAGAGAAGAACTAGAACTCAGCTACTAGAACGTAGGGAATTTAATAGCAACTAAATACGAAAGATGTGAGAGCTTTGCTTCTCTACTTGGTCCAGAGTCAAAGTCTCACCCTTTCCTTTTTCTTGTTTCTTTTTTATTTTTGGAGATAAATAATCAAAAGTGAAATAATTTTTAAGTGATCATTTCTACATAGAATGGGATTTAAGTTAAACCTCATATACAAAAAATACATTGACTCAACTATGACTCATGTTTGCATTCCCCAAAATTCTTTCAAATAGAGTCCCAACCAACCCCTCCTCCCCTCCCCCACTCCCAACCACCTGAAAAAAAAAAAGAGTGAAGAGAAGAAAGTGCTCCACTTTACCAATCAAAGAAATCCATGAATGACTCTTGTTGACAAAAGTGGCAAGTTCCATAAAATAGAATCCATATTTATGTACCCTTTTACTGGCCATGTCATAACAACTGAAGCAACTCTTCTCAGGACTGCCTAATTCTGCCAATGGTTTAACAAAGTGAATTCGTGCCCTCAGTTGAGTATTCACAATATATGAGATAAATGGTTGATATGGAGAACACACATTTCTCATACGCTTCCCTCTAGGTATTAAATGACCAATCATTGATTACTTGTCAAGTATCAGGGTCCAATGTGAACTCCACTAGTGTAAGCTTGTCTTACACTACCCAACCTCAAAACTAGATACAGGATGGGTTGTATCAGGTTGACAACTGCACTAAAACTTTGCCAAACTCTCATGAACCTTGGTTTGATAAAATTTTCTTTTTTTTATCCTTTGTAAAACTTTTTTATATTAATAAAATTTTCATTTTTATGAGTCTACAAAAAAAATAATTCATAACAAGGGAGAGATTGAGGATGTCGTCCACAAAATTAGAGCAGGATAAGCAAAATAAAGGGGGTGTATCTGGAGTTTTATGTGATAAGTGAATACCACTTAGATTAAAAGGAAAATTCTATAAAACAATTGTAAACAAACTATGTTGTATGGAGCAAAGCATTGGGAAGTAAAGAAATATGTCCTAAAAAAATGATAGTGGTAAAAATGCATATGCCGAGATGGACGAGTGGAAAAACTAGAAAAGGATAGGATAAAAAATGAAGTCATTTGAAGAAGCCTAGGAATAGCTCCAGTAGGTGATAAGATGAGACAAAGTAGACTAAGATGGTTTGGTCACGTGCATAGAAGACCGCCAACAACAACCATAAAAATAAGTGGTTTGTTACAGATTGAAGGGGCTAGAAGGGCTAGGGGTAAACCAAAGATGACATGGGTAGAATTAGCAAGAAATGATTTAAGCACCAATAAATTAACAATGGATGTGGCATTAAACATAACAAAATGGTGAAATGGAATCATGTAGACAACCCCATATAGATGGGATAAGGCTTGGATCATGATGATGACCATTGTCCACACACACACACAAGAAAACACATGTCCATGGTAAATCTATCTCTCCCTTCAAGAATGGTATAGATATCCCCACTTTGGTCTTACTCTTTAGTTCACTTACTAAGTATAACTCAAAGGATAAAGAAGGAACTCAACTACAAAAGAGGATTCTCAGTCTAATCAATACAGTGACAAAAAAAATAAATTCAAAATGGAAAGTAGATGACATGTGTAATAAAGAGAAGACAAATAAAAGACTACAAGGGAGAATGAAAGAAGATACCCATTGAAGTATCTCAATCATCCCTATTTGATTCATATAATTGTTTGCTATTGTTTTCTAGTCTTAAACGTGCAATTAGACTTCTTCTAGCGTTTCCTTCAAGGTTTATTAACAAACTCCATGTTTTTAGAATTTTTTTTGACTTTTTAGATTTCCAAATATCTTAGCAAAGTTAGCGAATTATCCCCGAAATTTCCCATCTCTACATGGCAAAATGTCCATCAATATCGAAATTGTGAACCATGGATGGAATAGAATAGAATCATGAGGTTTTCAGTTCATATTGCATGATACAACCGTTTTTTGAAGAAAACATACAATCTAAAGCCAAATTGTTGAATCATATCATAAATCATGAAACACAAATCACACTACTTGACCTTACTTAATAGATCAAAATATTGTGGCTAAAAAATTTAACTTTCCTCTTTTATGTTGCTCGAAGAAGGGGCTTTTGTATCAAGACTCTAATATGATATTTTTGTTGGAAATAAACAATATATTGGCCTTTGAACCCTACTTTGATATGTTGAAAATAATTAGGTTTTTCACAACTAAAATGAAAGAAAAACTTCACCTTTTGATTGGTCTTCAATTTTGTATTGCCCAAGTTTCTTAAAGAAGGTGCTTTTTTTTTCGAGAAAAAGTTATCAGTTTTTCATTCTGCTTTGTGGTTTTCTTTTTCTTTTTCAATTTGAATTTGCATAACTACGTAGATACTTTCAAGATTTATTTTGATTTTGAACTTCTATTTTAAAATGACAATGACACCTAATGGATGATAACTTGACATAGTTTCCATTTAATTTTCCCATAAACATCTATCATTTCAAGTTTATAAAATGAAAAGTAAGAACTATTGCCTCCTGTAATGATGTAACGAAAATCAGTACAGTAAATTAATAGATAATTTGAAGTATTTTGACAGGGACTCCGATGCTTTCCATAAAACCAAAGGATCTGCCGATCCTACAGCAACCACTCCCTTACATTAAGTTATCAAATAAAGAAGCTTTACCTAAAAAAATGACATTCCAAGAGCTCAAACAATACCGCCATCATAACGAACATATAAACAGCAGTAGCCATACTAGGATGCAATAGCAGAAATCAAGGGAGAAGAACAAAGACAAAATGGCATTAAAATCGCGGAATTTTCAAAATAATGTCACAGAAACTAGAGGGAAATAATGCGAAATTAGGGTTCCTAAATCAATATAAGCAAGAGGCAGAGCAGGCCGTACCTAGAACTTCCCGGATCCTCAGTACTGAGTGGAACATAAGACCGATTAGAATGCAGAATAGAATTGTTGGGCAATTCGATCGCCATACCAACGGAGGAACCAGAAGAAGAATGAGAGGAAGAAGAGATCGTTGGAACACGAACATTCTTCAAAGCATCTCTATGCTTTCTGAACAGGGGAGTCCGATTTCTCGTCGCCATAGCGAATCCGATAATTTTAACGGATAGAAATCCAAACCACTCTCTTATAGATCTGAGAATGGGAACTGTGAATTCGGTTGTCTCATATTCAACGGAGTGAGAGAAGCAAAGAGTGGAAAAAGAAGAAAACAAAAGGCAGAGGACTTAAAATTTAAATAAGAAAGAACGTCGATAGATACAGGAAATTTAGGTTTGGGGGAAGGGTGATTGATTGATTGGTGAGGAACCAGGACGAGATCTGACGTTGGGAATTCCGGGAAACGCAAATGCTTCCTTGCATAAATACATACATTCTCGTGCAGGGTTACAGACAGCCACCTCTCCTTTGAACCTTCTTCCGACAGCTTAATCAACCTCTGGAGTCTGGACAACCTTCTCTCCTTCTTGTTGCCAGCCAACCAAGGATTAAAATGCGCCGATGGGGGGGGGGGTTAAAACGCTTAAACTACACACTGTCTAACTCAACGAAACGCTTAACATTAATAATACAGCATGCTTGTTGTCATATATTGCTTCTGACCAACGCTTCCCAATGCAAAAGGTTTTTTTTTCTTTCTTTTGGTAAGTGCCAGTTATTGAGACTTCAGAGAGCCCGGTCCAGCTGCGCTGGATGGTTGTTGTGTAGGAGCTATTTATCCATTAATAACGATACTGGATTCAGTCAGTGCATGTTCCATTCAACATTCTTTATAGCCTTGAATTCGGAATATCTTCCCTTGAAATAAAATACATAAGTACGGAGATGTTAAAGACTCTTTGAACCGTGTTCGAACGGATTTGCACTGACTGAAGCCTATCTTATAAATAATGCCCCACGTCATCCACAAAGTGACATAATTTGGGGTGATGCATCGGTTGCATTTGGGAGTTGCGATCTCCTACCAACGAAATACGTTCCTAGTAACCCCTATCAATCTCATGAAAATGAGATGTACGGTGATATATAATGTTAGTAGGGGTTGGCACGTGTTCTGTTGGTAGGAGATCCGGACTCTGTATTTGGGGCCTTGTATACACAACAGGAGTTAATGGTGTATTCACTTATGATTGATTATATAACCGTTTTTAAATAACTATGTTTGTAACAGATCTACGGTGTGGAGTGATTTGTGGAGCATGTAGATAATAACCGACGTGAGGAGAGTGGATTAACTCAACTTGATAGCTGCTGTGGTTTGGGCTGTGTGAGTGTGAAGTAGTCATACTTTTCCAATTCCCACTTGTAAATTCTAGCCCATAATAAATTTGAGGCCCGAAAACAATAAGATTTTAAAAGGTTGTGTGAGCCTATGTAATTTCAATAAGATTTGAGCCATAAACCCTGGGGTAAATCTTAAAGTATAAATATAATGTTTCAATTTTTATGTATATAAATGCAATGTATGTATGTAGGCAAACGATTTATTTCATTTTATATCTAATTTACACATTTTCTTTTTATTACATATATATTCTTTTTAATACAAGCCTTATGTTATTTTAATTCTATTTTTATAACTCTGTTTATATAAGTTAGATAATTAATATATAAATACATACTAAAATTATTTGTATTGTTTTATGCATTAAGGGTACAATTTATTTATTTTATGAAGTATTTATATTTATATTCATTTTTGTCTTAAAATTAATCATATGTTTATGGTAATAATTTATCTAAATAAAATTATCCACATATATAATTTTCATATTTCATAGTTTATTCATATAAATTTTAGATTGTATTGAAAAAAATCTAAAATATAAGATAGTAAACACAGCATGGTCATATATATACATACATACATGTAACTTTCTCTATGGCCACTTTTCGGGCCAAGTGGGAGATTGTTAGAAAAATTATCCATTGGGTAGGACTTGAATTGTGGCCCATCATGGTGGCCACGTTCCAGATTGAATTGGTCCAAATCCAATCACCCTAATTAGAGCTCATTTATGAGGGTATTGGACTTAAAACAATATCCTGATAAAATAACTCCATAATTTAAGGGATTTATGATATTCAAATTTGAATTTTAAATGTCCCATTTACAATTTTAGAAACCATGGGGTTGATTGATTGACAGAAATTATGGGAATTGAATTCCCTTTAATTAGGCAAGACCTTTGCTAGGAAGATTGCCTAAGAGAATGACTAGAGAGAGGATCCAAACTTCACTCTCATTCAGCTCTCCCATGAAAGAGAAAAAGAATGCTCCCTATCAACACTGAACTAGATAGTTAGCATACAAGAGAGATCGAATAGAGTTCTAAGGAGATATTACAGTTCTCGCAAGTCACTAACTGTAATCGGTGTGTAACTGCTGAATTGCTCGACTGTATCAATCCGAAGCAAGGAATTAAAGACTGACGGGGTTCGATTCAAGGAAGAAGAAAGAGGATTCGATCAAAACAACTATTACTATGGGAGATCCTTGCGCAGAGGTTATGGCAACTGGAGGTAAAATTTTATTTATATACTGTTCATTTATTTCGGTTGAACAGATTTTGGTCGACTTTTAGACCCCACGAGAGGAGAGAAAGGATTGCATTGGTTGAGAAAAGAATTCAAAACCATTATCAGTGTGGATCTTCTTAATATAATAATGAAATTGTGTTTGAACATAAGCGAAGAAGATTTGAATTAATGAACAAGTTTCAGATTTGAAATGCATGAAGAACACTCATGTACATCTAGTGAAGTCATCCACAATAGTTAAAAAAACAAAAAAAAAAACGAACACCCGTAAATGAGGAGGGTACAGTGTAGGGACCCTATATATCACACTAAATCAATTGAAAAGGCGAAGTGGTAGAGATGGAACTAGAGGGAAATGGTAACCGTGTTTGCTTGGCAAGTGGACAGATGCGACAGTTTTCATCCGTGGTGCAGGTGGGAATGAGGTATGTATATAAGGGTCTGTTTGGTTTGCAGGAATAAGGGTCTGGAATCGGAATCGGAATGGGCTATTTCAATTCCAACTGTTTGGTTGGGCGGAATCGGAATCCCATTCCCATTCCTGCTGGAATGACATTCTTCCATTTGAAGGAATGGTCATTTCTTGCCTCTCCCTTGAGAATAAAATCTCATTCATATTCCTGTTTGAACCAAATAAATTATGAGAATGGATCATTCTAATTCCGATTCTGAAGAATTTCGATTCCAATTCCAATTCCAACTACAAACCAAACAACCCTTAAATTTATTCATAGAAAATGTGCCGGGATGACCGAGCCGACGGTGCCATATTTCAAAAGAGGTTTGTAGAAGAGAAGGGACTGGTTATGCGGTATGTCAATATTGAAGTATTCCAATTGGCGAAAGGTCCTCTACAACACAATGATCATAATAAAAAGTGACGGAACAATCGTATCTGTTAGTTAGTTGACTGACAAATAAAAGATTGAATTTAAAAGGAAGTATAATTAAGCAAGACATCCGAAAGGGTGATGATCATTAAGGCGAGAAGAACCAGTATGTGTGATTTCGGCAGTGGTTTGAAAAACCAAAGGATCTGTTCAGTTTCCAGTTAATCTATAAAAAAACCTACGGTTAGTCAAACCAATCGGTATATATATTTATATGTATATTTTATATATATTTTTAATATATGTTACATATTTTCTATGTATTATATATAAATATATATTTATTATATATAAATATATACTTATATTGTATTTAAAATGATTTATTTATAAATATATTATATATATTATATATTTTTAAAATATTTATAATATATTATATATCATTTATTATTTATATATAATATTATACATATATTTATATAATATATATTATAAATATAAAAAACCGAAAAATTGAAGAACTGAATCAGTTAAAAAACCGAAACCGACGGACTAGTTAACTGGTGGTACTGATTCAGTTTCGAATTGGCGAAATGAAAAAATCAATACCATCAGTTCGGTTTACAAAAAAGGGCCATGGTTCAGTTAACCGAATTATGAACACCCCTAGTGGAAATAAAGGATAAGGCAAGATACAAAAGGATAGATTACTAGTTTTTTTTTCTGGTTTATAGTATTATACACAACAATGGGGAGCCCATACCCATTGCCCCCCCACCCCCNCCACCCCCCCTCCAAAAGTAGAATCTTGGTGCTAGTAGGATTTGATCCAAACTCTCTCTAAAACCCTATTGCTGGTTAGCTGATTGGCATTTTCAATGTATATGGTTTTGTTTTTTTTAAAATAAAAAATATCCACCACAACAACATCATCAAGAACAAATAGGAACAAACAAAGAAACAACCAGGGCACCCATTCAACAGGGCACATTATGGTAATTTTCTATAAAACTGAAGCCATGGTTCAATTATAATTATAACCAAACTTGCAATGACTCAGTAGTTGAGCCTCCAAAAAATGGATGTGGATGATCAAACCCACTGCCTTCGCGTGCACCCTCTCTTTCCCTACCTCTAAATTACCCTTTATGTGTATTATGTAATACTCCCCCACCCCCACCCCCACAAAGAAAAAAAAAACAGATATGATAAAAAATTACAATTTAGTCATAGGGAACGGTCAGGCAGTTAGGGGCAACTTTGATAATCATATTTGTCCATGTGTTAATGTCCTCTCTTCATCTTTTCTTAGTCATTTTTTTTTTATATTTTACTTTTTTTATGCATTTTTAGTACAATTTCTACCATCTCATGTCTAAATTACATCTCTCGCTTTGATAGAAATACATAAGAGTATATAATCGTTTTATATTTAACTTTTTAATAACCAATTCAATAGAACTCCACCAGAGTTGGTCGATTTTCTGGTATTACTGATCAACTTTGGTTCAACAACTTTCCAACCCAACCAAGTTAAGTCAATTTCGGTTTGGCCATTTATAAACCGACCAAAAGTGAACCAACCCAACCATAGATATATTAATAATTTATATTTTAATTATGATTTTTTAACACGGAAAAGTGGGAAAATTCCCATATTTCTTAGTTTAAAATATTTTATATCATAAATTTAATTCTTTTTTTAATTTATTTTTAATAATACCATTGAAATTTATTAAATTTAAATTCAATTTTTAAGCTTAAATCTTTTGAACAAATAAACCAAGCAGAAAATAAACCCAAATCAATACAACCCGATTTGACAGATTTTCACTAATAGTCAGTCAGTTTTGGGTGACAAACTCTCAACCTAACCAAGTCAATTTAGTAGGGAAAATAGCTTATAACCGAACTGAACCAATCTTTGAGCACTCTTAATTTTATCTAAATTAATAGTTTAATCTCCAATCATTATTGAAAATTTATAGCAAAAATACACAATTATTGACAATTAATTTATAATGAAAATACAATAATTACAAAAATACAATAAATATTGAAAATATATTAAATTAACCAATAAATAGTGTAATATCAAATAATTGTTTAATCTCTAATAAATATTAATCAATAAATTATAAAAAATACATAATTAGTGAAAATAAATTTATAAAAAATACAATAAATTAAATTTCAAAAGTTAAATAATAGTTGTTT